CACCCGCCCCACCTCACCACGCCCTACCTCACTCCACCCCACCTCATCCCACCACAACCACCCCAACCCACCTCACCGCACCACCACCTCACCTCGCCCGCAGTAAATAATCTCTCAAACTAATCGACTTAATTCGGACGCGGCAAGGACGAGCCATCCACATCCCGCCGCAGCCGTGCTTACACACACACACACACACACAACCTCCAATTAAAACTTTAATTAATGGCGTGTCAAGTCCCGGGAGAGTGAGAGAGGTGCAGGGAGAGAGGGGGAAGGGGGTGAATTGTACCTTATCGTGTTTTGTCGCCAGGCGACACTTTGCCCCTCCCTTTTCTTTCCCTTCCCTTCCCCGCCTCGCCCGCTGCTGCTTTTGCCCGCGTAGTTTTGACAAGAGCAGTAAATTTGTTTCGGCTTGCAGCAGTGTACTGTACTGTACCTCCGCTCCGTTATAGAACGTGTACATTACATGTCATCCGAATTACTTTTTATGCTCGAACGACTTTGGTGTAACGAGCGCGACCTGCCCGGGTTCCAGCTGCGCGACCCTGGCTGCGAGTACCTGGCGGAGAAGGGGCAGCTGCGCGTGCAGGTGGAGTGGGAGGAGAGCCACCTGCTGTTCCAGGCCACCTACCACAAGTACGACGACGTCAGCAGAGTGCACAACATCCAGATGAGGTGAGGCAAGGGGAGGAGGCGGTCTGTTTGACTGGCAAACATACGGGCCCGATAGGCGCGTGCGCAGGTCGCTTTGCGCGCTGGCACAGCGGGTGATGGTATAGACCATTGTACCTTGTTTGGTCTCTGCGGTGAGAAAGACAGAGTTGGCAGCCCCGCGGCCTGTAGAAACGGCATCTAGATCGGGGAGACAGGACAGGCAGACAGAGAGGATGTGTGTGACTTGTGTCTGGAAACTTGGCTTCCGCTCACTGGAGCCGCGGGCCTGGAGGCTGCTCACCTCCGTCGCGGCGCTTCGCCTCCTGGCGGCGGCGGTGGGACAACTCAAACACGACTGTTTTGCCCGCAGGCGCGAGATCGTGGCGCTCCAGGCCGAGAACTACTCGCTCGAGCGGCAGCTCTTCAGCTACCAGAAGTCGATCGCCTACGCGCACTCCACCCGGAACACGTACAGCGACGACGGCGCCACGCCCGACGGCCGCGAGCGCGACATCGAGGACGACGAGGACGGCGAGGGGCCCTACTGCGACGAGCGCGCCTACTCGCTCGGGGACCGGTAATTTAGGCACAATTTACGGGGCTCAAATTGCACGGGATAAGCCTATAAGAGGGCAATAAATTTGTCTCAAGGACACTCGCCGTTTTTCTAAAGATGACATCATTTGTATTGGGGGTCGCAACGTGCTCTGCTTGATAAATTTTATTGCAACAATAGCTAAATTGTTACAATTATGTCGATTATGTTTGAGAAAAGTAAAGTGCTTCTAAACGTTTCGAACAACAAAAAGTTGTACCATGCCATTTAAAGTGAGAGGCCCAAATGCGATGAGAATCTAATTCCTCCCCACTACTGTCGAGATGCGCCAGTATAATGATTCTGTATCTGTGCAGTTCGCTGTCGACGGACACGGAGTACGCCTGAGATCTGGCGCCCGCCTCCTGGGGGCAAGGGGGAGCCCCCCTGGGGGGCGGGACAGGAGGCGGGCTGGGGGGCGGCGGCAGCCCCCACCGGTCGCCGGCAGCGGGCGTGGTCCCGGGGGCGGTGCACAACCACCACCGACAGCACCGCCGCTCCGCGGACTCGACGAACAGCGACCAGGGACGGCCCAAGGTATGGGAGCGGACCGAGCTCGGCGGCGTTCGTCTAACGAGGGATCGAGCTACGTGATTCACCCTGGGGCTGTGGGTGGTGCCTTTGTCATGACCGTCTGATCGCGGAGGAAATATGTCGCGGGTGTGTCCGCACTGTGTTGACGGAACTCTCCTCCACGATTAAACGTGATCGTGATTGCAATACCGCACCCCCCGGAAACCACACCGCTCGAGCATCCCTTATTTCCATCATTTTGTCTTTTACTTAACATCTTGTCACAGGCTTTCAAGTTTTGACAGTCTACTCACATTTTTGAGGGTTTCTTGGGAACGGCTGGCTCTTCTGGTTCATATTTCGCACTTTCTGCTTGGGAGTGCGAGCAACATATTCAGGGCACTGTCCACTTCTCAAAGTCCCGAGCTGTTTAGCAGTTTTAAATCTTCCCTTTCTGCCTGCAAAGGAGAACATTTTCTTTTTCAATCGAGAAAAAATGATTTTTTTCCCCTGTACGTCCCACAATTCTAAGCGTGGTATTAGTATGTAGTTTCTCTCTTCTATTTCCCGTTACTGCTGTACTCTCTTTCCGGCAAAATACCTTTATTATCTTCCGCTCCGCCTTCAGTTTCACGTCAGTCTCTCCCTGACTTACCTCGGCATGTTCGGTGTATCGCCACACCCTTCAAGTTCGATACACCGACGTGACTTGAGAGTTTGGACGGCGGGCTTGGCCTGCAACAGGGGACTGAGCTTTCTCTTTCACGCGCCCTTCTTCCGTCTGTCTTCTTTGGATGTCTTTTGCCTGCTTAGGACGGGGAGCCAAGCTTGTGGAGTCACCAACGGAATCCAATCTAATTCACTCCAACTTGGCAGAATGCTTGGACAAAGGATTTGCATGTCCCAGCACCCGAGCACACTTGCTGTGACACCCGCTCAGTCCGGCCAAGCCAGCAGAGGGTGGGATGTATGTCCGTTTCTTGGGGAGCGGACGACGCCCTCCCCTCTGCCCGACTTGGCCGGGTCGGGTCTTCGTAGCGCACTCCCCCACCCCACTCTCCTCTCCATGCCTCTGACCGGAGCGACTTGCTGTTGGTTGTAGCGCCCAGACCTTTGGGAACAGTCTGATACCGAGGACGAACAGGGCAAACGTCGCCACCTCTTCGATAAGACCCTAACGAACCCGCGGGTGAACCCACGGGGGAGGGGCAGACACGGTACGAAACTAAATGTGTTCAATGCACGGCAGATCTGCCCGGTCAGTCTATTGGTCAAACAAAACAGTTTCTCTCCTTTTTAGCCGTTGATGTAAAATTTAATTATGTACATTGTGCTTCTTTAATCTCTTTTATTCTTATGAACACGATTGACCGGGCAGGTCCAGTGCAGATTTAGCCTTCTTGAAAATGTAATTCTTGTACATTTCGTATCGTGGGTGGTCCTGAATGCACCAAGGACGCCTCATTTTAGTATTTGTTACTAAAACGTGTTAGTCTGCTTTCGCTTAACGCATTATCTGTCCAAAAGCTTTACTGACCCGATGTTCGCGTTTGTGAAAAAACGTCAAAAGAGTACCATGATATTTGAGAAAGAAAAGAATTGCTGAGGAATTAATCAGGTTCCTCTTCCCCCAAATAATGAGAGTTTATACGGAGGTGAACTTCAAGTGCCCAAGCCGTCAAGGACAAATGAGTATCAAATATATTTCCTTGCATGTTTACCCCAGTAGCATGGCATGGGCATGATTGCATGGACTGACCCCTTTTACCGAACTTTTTGGACGCATCTTCTTTCTTACTCTTCATCTTTCAATGCTGTGGCACTCTTTATTGCTGACCACCTTGCACTCTTCTCTCATGCCACGACGCTTACCTCTGATCTTACTATTTTTGGGGACTTTTTGAGATTATAAAATATTTTGAACGATTTTTTGTTCCTCTCGCCTTTATCCATTTTTATTGAAAAAAAAAACACTTTTTTGAAGGCTTTATCTTCCAACACTATTAAAAAGTCAGACAGCCCTCCAAATAATTTTTCCTGTTCTAATGTTCTAACTTCCACAATGTGACATAAGGCTAAGGTGAGTTGGAGCGCTGGAAAATATTACAACCCTAACAAAGACGCGTGGCCAGTATTCTGCAAGAGATATCGAATAAACGATGTTTGAGTGTAAGAGAGAAGCCTCCTTATTTCTCTCTCTTGCACCACTCCGGTGGTTCCGGTGCGCGACTGTGATCAGTTAGTTTATGTCGTTAATGCGCAAATAAGCACTAAACCGCTTCCGCCTCACGGTACACCCGTGTCGTCCTGCGATCGATAGTCATTTATAGTTACACAGCAAAGAATGCCCTACCATCGCGAGTAACACGTCAAAACTAACTTTAAATTCGTTGATAGACCTTCAGAGGGCCCACATATTTTATAAACTAATTACTACCGTGATTTTTGACAGCTTTTACGTGTTCCTCTAGATGGAGAGCGTGTTGTACAGATAGTTATGTCCACTGTATATAAATCCAATGTTTTCCCAGTTAAGTCTACTTGTAAAGTGCTGGTGTCTTCGCATCGATACTTGTGTCTCCTACGGAGGAAACCTCTCACTAGAAGGCCTAAAGTACGATAACGAGATATTGTACCGCTTGTAGACTCTACTGTGATGTAGGTGTCACTTCATGGATTGCATGACAATGTTTTCACTTTCTGTTCAAACTTTAATGGTTGGCGCCACTTAACATTTAAGACGCTTTCTAATTGAACGCTCGGCTGGTTTGTCCACCTATTTACCGAAAGTCGCACTAAACTACTAACATGCTGCACAAGTAAAGTCGAACTAAAACTCGGACAAATCGAGATTATTGCAGAAGACACTTAGTATTCATATCTATCCTGTGCGCTTTCAATTTAAACTCTCACATCTTCTATGAAAAGCTCGTTAA